ACCATGACTAGGCAGTCAATCAGCTTGTTGGTAGTTAGATAGCTGAGAATGAGCTAGTTAGCCAATCAGCTGGCCAGCCAGCTCATGAGGTCAGCTATATGGCTACCTACGGCGGCAATCATGCCGAGAGCAAATTTCAACTGGGTGTGTGTGTTTTGAGGGTACAGTACCCTTTTGGTTTTAAAGGGAAGCCAAAAGGAAAGTCGGCATTTCTCATGACCTGCAGGCTGAAGCGCATGCTGTCAAGACGGACCTGGTCCGAGTATGTTCAACGGGGGTCACTGGATTTCCTTTCAACACATGCAATTGGCCCTATGGTGTCCATTGAAACTGCCACTTCGGAGGTTCCATTTAATTAAAGGGAAATGGAGGCACCCCTGCACCATTTCAAGACCATCTTTACACATGATTGGCTTTGTGGCAAACTGTTTGGTTGACCGCTGGTAACCAAAACAATCGACCTGATACAATGATAAACCCTGCGCACCCCACTTGTATCAGCAAAGCAAGCGATTGAACATAGTCTCTGCCGCAGACTGCAGGGCTGCAGAATATGTTGAGCGAACCTGGATGCATCATGCAAAGCCTTGCAAGTTGTTGCTGCAAGGGTCCCGGTTTGGGCAAGTGGTCGAAGCGGGGGACATTTGGCACAGGTCGCGATCCTGCTCCTCAGACAGGCCCGAGCGGCTCGAAGTCTACATTAAAAAGTCGAGGAGAAGAATTGCGTGGCCCTGGAAGACGTGCCCATCTACCCGCGTGTAACCCCTTGCATACCCAGGTTGGGTCCAGTTTCATCTCACAAGAAAATATGGTGGCACACGTCCCCAGAGGCATGCAGCTAGTTCCTATGAATGGAAACTTGGGGAACAGAAGCCCGTCTTCTTGACAGCTTTATCTGCTCCTTGCTCAAGCCTCACGCTGCCGCATCTTCGACAGGTTGAAGCATGTGAAACCTGCCAGGAGAAGTAAAGAACTAATCGGCTTCTGTCTCCAGTTGAGCAGCCGTATTGATGGGTATTAATGTGTGCAGGTAGAATTACTCAAATTTTGCCCCCAGTTGCCCAGCCAGTTGGACCTGTCACCATGTGTTCCGTCCCGCGCATGCTGCTCCTGAAAGATTTGGCTCTATTCCAGATTGAATTGCTGATGGAGCGCCAGTCAGAGAAGTTGCCCAGGAATGCCGACGGCCATGGTTTGCCGACGCGGGAGCGCTCAAAATGAACAGACCGTTGCGAAAAGGCATAAAAACACATCGAGAGTCCAGCGCAACCAACGCAATGTACCGATGAATCCACCTTCAAATGACACTCCCTCCACCCTGTGAGTTCCACCCTGATCCACTTAATGTATAAATGTTTATATATATATATATATATGTTTGTGTTATTTTGATGATTGTGGTTATTATGAATTATGACTACTATTATTGTTATTGCTATTGTTTTATTGTTATTAGCAATATTACTATTAGTATGTTTATTATTGTTATCATTATTATCATCATTATTATTGTCATGTTTACTATTGTTATTGTTATTATTATTTTTTTTATTGTTAGTATTACTATTCTTATTCTGATTATTATTTTACAATGTGTGTTCTGTACACAATGAGCATATTAGCTGCTTTTTGGTGCCTGTTGGGATTGGGGACCTCGGGACCCTTGAAAGATAGGAACCATGGCACAGGCCCAAAGAAAACCACTCGGATCGCCTGCCCAAATCCACACCCAGGCCGCCAGAGCTTTCCTGCGCCGAGTCTTGATCCCTTCGCGCCAGAACCGCCACTGGGCCCACATCTGGGGTACAGAAAAATCATGGCCTCATCCTGTTCCAATTTTAGTCTAACATGCAAAGTATGTTTGGAGGAGACCCCAGGTTGCTCCGTCCTCCCAACGAAACCTGTGACTTACAACTTCTTCAACGCAAAAGGAACCTTCACAAAGGTTGCATATCGTTCCATTGCCCTTGACCCATTGTATTTCCAGAGTTGCAAGCAAAAACATCATGAGGTGTCCCAGGCAGACCGTCTCCAGTAAGCTAGCTAAATGGAACCTAAGGGGACAACCAATCTTGCCTTGCTCACAATGCAAGAGGGAGACACAGGCGCCAAAAGAGCGCTGCCTTGAATGCAACAAGCGGGGAGCACAGCACTGGCATAGCACAGGTAGGAATTTCACGCTTACAGAAACAATGCTCAAGTCCAAGAGTGAACTTAACCTCGTCAAAATTAATGCTCGTTCTCGCTCGCATGCATGTACGCGCATACGCACACAACATCACACACGCACGCACGCACGCAAGCAAGCAAGCAAGCAAGCGAGCGAGCGAGCGAGCGAGCAAGCAAACACTCACACACATACACACTAAAAGAGTCACTCACAACAAACACACACACACACACAAACACACACACACACACACACTCCGACGCTAAGCAGCTGACAGGTGTTTTAGGGACACTGCTCTCTCAACACCCGGACATGCCACACACTTGAAACACCCAGTCACACACACATATGACATAAGTACACAATTGTCATCGAGAGGTTACTAGTTGTAATTGCTACTCGGTATCTTGCAAAGCCTGGCACAACCGCTCGTGTCAGTTTCCTGTACTCAACAATCAGTAGCGTCTGTTAGTTGCACTGAATGGAGTTTAACAAACCTTTTACATTGTGCTAAACATCGAATGCTGACGTCAAAATCTTGGACAATTGGAGCAGCGGGTCACATGCTCTCTGCAGCAAACTGGGCTCATAAGAACTCGTACTTGCAAATCTGAGCAACCTGTAGAAGAATATACCGGAAGGTCTGAACATCACTTTGGATTTGGCATGCATCACTTTGGAAGCCTCACACAAGTGAACCCCAGCTTTTTCTGACTCAGCTTGCGGCATGGACACCCGATTTGATTTTGCTTGGCAGATTTGCAGAAACGCGGTGTACATGTATATCTTTCCTGGCCGAATGCCTACGTATCAACCACCAGCAAGCCGGGTATTGTTTGTGTATTGGCCAAGTCGATCCAAACTCAGGCTGGTTTGTAAGATCCTGGGCCTAAAGGCAACTCGAGAAACAAGAAGTCGCTGCACGCCTCACAAACAATTGCTTGCTTGCATCACTCAGAATGTGCTGAAAGCTTCCTGCTTTCAAGCTCCTTCTTCACTGTCATGTGTTTCTGATTGCCGTTGACAGCTTGTCCCAACTTGTCTGGTTTGTGCTGCTTCTGCTTGCCTTGCCTGTTTCTACCGCTGCTGTCCGCTTTTGCTCGCAGTTGCTTCTGTCAGCTTCGAGAAGCATGTTACGAGTAAGGTGTAAGAACCATGACCTTGTTCATACATTCTAGAATTACCAGTATAGCCACCAAACCAGTGGGCGGAAGTTCAAAAATATAAAACTATAGTTCCTTTTCTCTATATTTTCTTGATTCTTGTTTTCTTCTTCTTCCTCTTCATTGTTTCTTTTTTGTTCTTCGTCATGGTCTCTGCGTTTTTTGCCCCTCCCTTCTTTTTGTCTTTCTTCCCTTCTTTTTGTCTTTGTTGTTTCTTTTCATTATTTTCTTCCTTTCTTTTGCTCGGTGTTGCGCCGTTCTTTCTTTTCGAGTGTACGTATGTGTAGGCCTATCCATCTGTCTATTTTCTCTCTCTATCTCTTTCTCTCTCTCTCTCTATCTACCTATCTATCTAGCTAACTATCTATCTATCTCTCTATCTATCTATCTATCTATCTATGTCTCTCTCTCTCTCTCTCTCCTTCTATTTATGTATCTATCTAAGCTATCTATCTATCTATCTGTCTTTCTATGTTTGTGTCTATCTAAGCTATCTATCTATCCATTTATCTATCTATCTGTCTGTCTCTCTATATCTCTCTCTATCTACCTCTCTCTCTCTCCCTCTCTCTGCCTAGCCATCTATTTACCTATCTAAGCTATCTATCGATCTATCTATCTATCTCGCGATCTATCTCTCAATCTATCTCTCTCTCTGTCTATCTGTTCATCATTGATCGATCTATCTTAGCTCTCTATCTGTACTTGACCACGAATTCTGTACTTGACCTTGCGAAAGTGCTGCGCCTGTCACGAAATCTGTACTTGGTTTGGTGCGCCTGCCACAAAATCTGCACTTGCCCTTGCGAAAGTGCTGCGGCTGCCATAAAATCTGTACCTGACCTGCTGCGCCTGCCACGAAATCTGCACTTGACCTTGCGAAAGTGCTGCGCCTGCCATCAAATCTGTACTTGACCTTGCGAAAGCGCTGCGCCTGCCATGAAATCTGCACTTGACCTTGCGAAAGTGCTGCGCCTGCCACGCAATTCAAACCTTAGGAAAAGTTGACCTTGCGAAAGTGCTGCGCCTGCCACGAAATCTGCACCCGACCTTGCCAAAATGCTGCGCCTGCCACACAATTCAAGCCTTGCGAAACCTCTGCGTTGCCGTGCCAATGGGCCCGGCGCCGAGCCCGCTCCGAGACCGCTCCGACCAAACGCTGCGGACAGGCTAGCTTTCACATCTCCGGAGACACAAATTCACGCGCAAGGCCACGCTTTTTGCAACTTTCTCATGTCCAGAGACGCCAATTCACGCACAGGGCCACGCGTTTTGTGACTGTCTCTTCCCCTGCCGCACGCGCGCGCATTTTTTCTCGCGGGCTTATTCCTTCTCTTGTCATTTGTCTCAGAGAGCTAGCATTCAATTAGTTGCCGTAACACGGAAGTTCCTTCTAAACTTCCTTTGATTACAGCTTTGGCTGGTGATGATGGATGGTAGTACACGAAGAATGTCCTGGAGTCTAAAGCCATGAAACGCACGTCAGATTCGCTGGGAATTGCGGCTTATGGAAAGGGGGAGCCGAACGAAGGATCTTCATCCCATAAGCGGGTTGGCGGTCGCTAATTACCAGCACCAAGTAACACTAAGTAGGCTGTTTTGACTAGACACCCACCGGGACATGCGACCCCAATATGTCGGAAGCAGCAGCATAATCCTCCAGTCACTCACAAAGCAGGCTGCACACGATAAGCGCCCCGTGCCCCTTTTTGTTCCGGCTCCTTGTCTTCGCTGTCGGGCACCATGATGCAGTCCACAAAATCCATGTCCCATGCCTGTCAAGGGCAACACGTGCCAGGGCTCCATTTCTGAAAATCTCAAGGTACACTTGAACAGCCATCCCTGGGTTTCAGTCTACCATCGGATAATCAACAAACCGAGGCATGATACGTGACGCGAATTGAAGCGAGACGCTCTAAGAGCGAACAAATTCCGAGCATGCGAATATGGGCGTGCACGTTGCAAGCAGCGGACAGCAGCTAGTTTATCAATTAATCAGTTCATTAATTCATAGATTCATTAACTGATTGATTGACTAATTAATATTGCTCAAACCTGGACTACGGGATCCAAACTGGACATCGTCATGAGGCCCAATTGGAGCACTTCCATAGGCAGGAAACACAAGGAGCATCCCCACAGGAAAGGTTCAACAGCAGTCTTGTGCTGGACAAGTTCTGATCAAACCTTTCTGGAAAGGAGAACACTCCTCCTTCCGGCAATGGAGGCTGACAGCTTGTTGGAAAGAGGGTACCTGAGAGTGATGAATGTTGGGGGAGGCGAACGTCAAACACGTGTTTTTGTTTGTCAGATTTATGGAGATCCGACCAAGTAACCCCTGATTGGATTCACGGCGTTCCCCTCCAGTCGTCTGGATTCCTAGTGCTTCTTCTGGATTCCTAGTGCCTCTTTCTGGAGCATGCTCTGGTCCAAAACACGCCGTTCCAACTTCCAAAAGTCCGCAGATCCAAGCAAATGGTCGAGGCACAAAAGTGAAATAATGGACCCCAAGGAGCAAAGCCTTCATGGGCAAGTAGCAAACCAAAACCCTTGGTGAGGTCGCTATGATTTGGCTAAATAGGTGTCTCTTGGCTAACATAAGCTTCAAATGTCTTGACCCTAATTGAGGCAAATGGAGTAGTGTTTTGTAGATCTTACTGGCAATGCACCTATGCCAAACGCTACGCGGTCAATCAGGTATTTGGGTTTAAGCAACCCCAGGTCGCTTAAAAAAAAGAACCAACCAATCATTCGTTGCGCTACTCCAGCAAAAGGTGTCAACGCGTGCTTTGCAGTGAAGCGGCTGTGTCGGAGTCGGGGGCACCATCTGGGCAAACCTGATGGACGTCAAACCAGGCACGACAACAGGGTTGTTCCACAAGGGTTTCTCCAAGAAGCTGATGAACCAAATCTGAAAGCTGAATTTGATCCAGATTCTTTGTTTCAGCCAACACTTTTGGTTCATACCAACCCCTTAGCGAAAGGCCCTGACATCACCAAATCAACGATTAGTTAGATGCAGGTGTGGACGAACATAGTCTATTAGATATGCAAATGCATACCCAGTCATAGGAAGTATCGTGGCAACGGCCTTGGTCTGCCAAGCTGACAAGCCATCCGTGGAGGGCCGGCTTTGGTGGAATCAGCACCCACACGCGGTCGGTTGAACATCCTGCCCAAAGCGCAGGAGCTTTGGGTTGGGACTATTCGGAAATTGACCAGAGGAGGAGTTGTCCGCTGATTTGGACACATCGTCTTTCATGAAGCTTTCAATCGTGAGAAGCAAACCCAACCGCCCACGGCAGAACGCCAATCTTTGTAGGTTTCCAATCTCAGCAATGCCACGTGGGTAAATTACTTTGAATCCCAGAAAATCCCTCCATGAGACATCGGGCCAAAGCGCTACAGGATAGTACAGTGGTATTTGCAAGGTACACACCCACATGTGTTTTCAAACAGAGGACCCTTGAAGAAGGATTGTGCTTTTCCTTTTGGCTTTCCTCCCAAAAAACACACACACACACACATTCAAATGACATGGACAGCACGTGCACTTCATGACGAAACAAGTTCCTGTGGGCAACCACTCCCCGACACAATGCATCCAAGCGTTCAACAGAAGTTCCGAGGTGGGATAATGGTCATAACCCACGACTTTTCCAGGGGCCATGGTGGACATTGAAAACCTGCTTTTGCGAGGACATTACGAGCGGGAACTGTACTACAGAGACGAGGTATCAACCTTGAACACCTGGACCCCTGTTCACTAGAAGCAAATGGCAGTTGTGGCTTCCTTGTTATTCTCCGCAATGCAACCACGGTCCCTTGTTTTGGAAACCTATCCCCTGGAAGCAAAAATATTTGGCTCCAGATTCGGGAACCCTCATGATGAGCCGTTTCCTCTTGGATTATTTTTCAAACAGCCCGTCAAAAAGGTGTTCTCAACAAGCATCACACGCTCAAGCGTGGTTGTGCTTACTGGGAACCCCCTTTTGGGTTCATTTCAAATGTAACCCAACCGACGATTCTTTCTGAAACAACTCCTAGCAACACCGCCTGTGAAGTGGAGCTTGCTTCGAACCCGTTGTGGGGGCTCCCTTCCTCCTAAGACAAGCTCACTGCGCAGCTTCCCCCTAGTTGATGGTTTGGGTCGGTGGTTTGGAGCTCACAAGAACCCGGGGGCCAAATCCAACTCACCCCAATCCAAACACCAGTCCAGTGTCGTTTTGAAGGGTACCCTTGGCTAAAAAAGACGCGCCCATTGCTCAGCTGAACTGAACTTCCCTGCCGCTCTGAGCGGCCAGGTAGGAGTGGCGCGACTGCAGCGTTGCAGAAGTGGTGGGCTCGATGCCCTCAACCAGCACCACCACCTCCTTGAAGCTCTTGGCCAAATATGCATCTCAGCATTCGGGAAAATTCGGGTGACCGGCAGGAAGAAGAACTCAAATGCGAGTTGGTCCAACTATGTCCAACTGCAAAAGATAAGCAAACGTGGTGGACTTGGCATGCGTCACGTGGTTCTCTCAGCATGGCCCTTGGCCCGAGAAACCAGCCACTGGAAATATGTCACAGTTGATAAAATACAACCACCAAAAAAAAGACTTCCTGTACAATGTCCTGTGGTTTGTTTCTTATACCCTTGCCATCTTGAGGATCAGAACAATTTATATACCGTAAGCAACGCATGATCGAATCTGCTGTCGAGCTGGAGCCGGATTCCTCTAGGGATGTTGACTCACCTCCCAACCGGGCTACGGTCTCGCAGGCTATGTCGCTCACGTTCGTGGTTTGAAGTCAGGTCCAATAAGGAACATAGGGAGATAGGATTGTCGTTTCGGAGGGTCACCTTGTTTGGATTGCTCTAAAGGGGAACCAAAGGCAACATACCGTGCATGTTGACTGCTACGTGCCCTGCTCGCCACAAACTGGAAGCACCAGAGGGCAAACTGGAATTGGAATCTTAAAGCAAGGAAGCTGCGAATCTGCTTCAAACCAAAACCGTTAGGTCCGTTAGGTCGCTGTATGGGTGTACCCTTGTCATGGATGGTTTTGAAAGGAAGCGAATCACCCATTTTGAGACAACCCATATTCTGCCCAGATATCATCTCTGGATCACCATGTCAGCAAAGGCGCTCAGCTCGGCTTTGGTCGGATCTCCTTGGCAGCCGTTGGATGTGCTGCAAAGAGCGTCGTGGGTGTTTCTGCAACTGGGGAACCCAGTTTTGGACGAAAACCCAAGAAGAAACCAACCGCTGATTCAAAGCCCAACAGTATCCCCCCCCCTGCCAAAGCTGCGGTGGACTAACCGCTCCAGGTCTGCCACAGTGAGTTCCTTGTGGCACGCCTCCGCATGCGCCAGTGTCAGACAGGAGGCTCTCATTGTTGGTTTGGAAAACTGGCGCCTCTCTGTGAGACCAGGCCATCCTCACTTTGGCACTTAGACTTTTGTTTGTTCGCATCGCACACCACGTGATATAAGGTAACCAGTTGCCAACCGGTTGCCAGGATCCTTCCAAGATTGCATATGGTGCAAGCGACCCATAAACCATTCTTGCCTAAGTCAAAACTACTAGGTCAATATGTTTGCAAGGCAGCCCGGGCACACTGTGTCCCATAGAAGTTCACCTGGCTTGACAACTCCTTTGCCATATCATGTGGACAACCATATCTCCAAGCTTGGGCGACCAGGCCGCAAACGTTCTCACCCACAAGGAACTATATGCTTACTCCAACTTGCCGGCTTCCTGCTAACCCCCTTACTCTGCAACGCAAGCTGATGCTGCAAAGCTGTCTGACCTTCGCTTCAAAAGAGCTTTTGGGACAGTGTGGAACTGTTGAATCTGATGACTATCTCCTCCCACAGCAAAACAGCATGAACTCCTTTTCTAGGGACCCTTTTCGCAACCATCAAACGCTGCATGCCATTTCAGATTTTGATGTGACAATATCATGTCTAGAGCCTTGGTTTTTCCTTAGCCGCCTGTTTCCATAGGTGACCTTTTGGAAACAAAGATGGCCCTGGCAAATGAAACAACACAAATCTAAACCAGTGCCATCTAGTTCCAGCCGAACTAACCTGAAAAGGACGCCTGTGCTTCTTCCCCCAACTTTCCGTAGCTGCATCACACTTCCGTGCCTCTGGCGGGAGGCCGGAGGCTTTGTCGGAGGCGGCAGTGTAGCGGCAATGCGACTTGAGCATCTCCGCCTACGGACACTGCGATTGGAGACGAGGTGCGCATGGGGTTGCCAGTTGGCTTGAAACAGGAGCTTGGACGAAACAAAGCCGCCAGTTGCGCTAACTCGCTTCCTCCTTCATACGGGTATAACAGGAATTGGGACATAAGTCACGTAGGTGTGAGTGTGTGTGTGTGTGTCTGTGTGTCTGTGTGTCTGTGTGTCTGCGTGTCTGCCTGTCTGTCTGTCTGTCTGTCTGTCTGTCTGTCTGTCTGTCTGTCTGTCTGTCTGTCTGTCTGTCTGTCTCTGTCTCTGTCTGTCTGTCTGTCTGTCTGTCTGTCTGTCTGTCTGTCTGTCTGTCTGTCTGTCTGTCTGTCTGTCTGTCTGTCTGTCTGTCTGTCTCTCTGTCTGTCTTTCTGTCTGTCTCTGTCTGTCTGTCTGTCTGTCTCTCTGTCTGTCTTTCTGTCTGTCTCTGTCTGTCTGTCTGTCTGTCTGTCTGTCTGTCTCTGTCCGTCTGTCTGTCTCTGTCTGTCTGTCTCTGTCTGTCTGTTTGTCTATGGTCTGTCTCTGTCTGTCTCTGTCTATCTCTGGTCTGTCTCTGTCTGTCTCTGTCTGTCTCTGTCTGTCTCTGTCTGTCTCTGTCTGTCTGTCTCTCTGTCTCTGTCTCTGTCTGTCTCACGAGCAAAATAACATGATTCTATTGAAGATTAGGTTCTCTTGCTCCTTATCAGCTCAGGAGATCACACAATGCCAGTTCTTAGAAGGTCAATCATTGACAGATCAAGCCCATCTACAATACATACGATTTCAGACATCGCAAGTGGCCAGCTTTCAAGTGAAGCCCGGGATTTGCATGTAACACAGTTTCTCTGTCGCGGCGCAGCATGGTAGCACGTCCATGCCTCTTGACTTGCACAGAAAGTGCCTTCAAAACGTTTCAATCGAGTTCTCCGGGATCTTTGCCAACCCCCAGCAAAAACTGCAGACGGTCCAACACCAAACATTACATCCAGGTTTTCGTGGCAAGCGACCACGCAAGCATGCCGCCAAAATGCGGAGTTCAATGAAGGGAGGAGAACATTGGGACAAAACGAGGCGGCTGTCTACACGTCCGACTACGTACCCACAAAGCCTCATCTCGGATTGCAAGCCCTCCCTCCCCAAAACCCCCCCGAGGAAAGCCAAGCAGCGGTGCCAAAGGATTGCCCGCATGTCGGGCAAGCACCTGGGAGCCCAAAAGGACATTTCAAGAGATCCAGGCTAAAATTCCCCACAATGGGCCTCACTTCAAACAGCCACAAAAGGACCAAACCTCCCAAAGGCACAGGCTTGCCTTCTTGCTTCCTTCTTTAAACACACCAAAATGGAACTCACTTCAAATGGCAACCGAGGTGAGCGCCAGCCTGGCGCTCGGACTATGCAGCCCCTCAAAGTGATGGGTGTCGAAAAAGGCGTATGGAACAAAACGGCTTCCGGTTGTGAAAAATATGCGTTGAGAAAAAAACACACACATGAGATAAATTATTTGTCCAGATTCGCAACTCCTCAATACCAAGAACACACCACAACCAATGTGACCGAACTCTCCACAAACAGGTTGCCCTCGCTGGGAAGGGTGTTCGACAGTCCTTGTGTGTGTGTGAGGGGTTCTTGGTTTGAGTGATTTGTGGGTCTGGATGCTGTTGGTTTTGGAGGCATTGGCTTTGTGGTGTCGCGGTGTTTGAGGCGTTAGTTTGTCAGTGCAGTTGCCCAGGCCCATGTAAAACTGCTTGCTTTTGCATTGGTAGCACGGAATCACACGTAACAACCCACAAACACCAGCCTCCATTTCAAGAGAACCTGACTCAACTTGACTTGACCGACCCAAATATGCCACACAAAAACGGCATTGAGCCCACTCGTCAACCAAGCAGAACACAACCAAACAGTCCTCCCGCAACCAACCCAAACCACACACGCAACTTCAAACGAATACCAACTCCAGCTTCATCCGCGGAACCACGCTAGAGGAGTCCCTATCAATAATCTCAAGGGGAACCACCCTGCCCACACTAAACAAACCATCTACGAGGACCCCCATCGGCCTTTCTGAGAACCCCCCCGAATTGTGTGTCCCACATCTGTGCGCAGAAAAACAGATTTCCAGATTCAGCTTCAAATTTAGCGCACCTAAACGCCGCAATTGTCCACAAAAACAACCAAGAAACAATACAAACCAAACCCAAACCAAACCTGAACCAAGCCCAAACCAAGCCCAAACCCACCCGAAAGCACACATCCCTCCACCCTAAAGCTACCCAAAACCAAACCAACCCGAAACCCACCCCAAACCACTGAACATTCCCAAACCACCCACAAAACCTACCCAAACCAAGCCAAACTTGCCAAGGCCTCGTCTCTGAGTCGAGCCGAGACGCAGGAGTCGCCCTGGCCCGTCTCCGCGCTGGCCTGGCGCTGCCTGGGCCATGGCCACCGACGGATGCGCAGGTTCTCCTCGTAGCCTACATCGGAGCACGTCGCTCCGGTGAAATTCCATCTCTCCCGACAAATAGGCGATTGGACGGGATCAAAAACATGGAAGGTGCTTGGTGTTCGTCCTTTTTAAGTTGGTCTGTTTGGTGGCATGAAAACCTCAGAATAGCTAACGGAACATCAGCTAACAGAACAGTCCCCTCTTATCTTGGGTGTGTGATCGAAATGCAAGGCGCCTGCCGAAGGTGCCAGCGCGAGCGTGCAATGCAGAAGGTTCCCGGACGTCATAGGCGTTTGATGTTCTTGGTTTTGTGGAACCACCGCTTGGTGAAACAACTGGGTCCATTCTAGCCAGACAGTCTAAAAAAATAGTGATTGAAATCATTTCTGTGGTTCAACAATCCCCCCTACGTAATCCATGTTTCCAGTGCTCCCACCACCAAACTTCTTTGGCGAAAAGGGGCTTCTCAAAATTTGGGAGCAATTCCTCCAGGTGACTGGTTTACTTTTGGTTCCCATTAGCCAACCAAAAGGGAGCTCCGGACAGACCCAAACAGGGTTGGTTAAACAATCCCCCTCATGTTGGGGAGTCCCCTATTTCCATGCTCAGGTCCTACAATCCTCCAACCACCAACATAAATGGAAACCGCAATATCAGACTGAAACCCAGCTGTGCTACCCCCAGCTTCTGTATACGTAGGTCTAGCCAAGTTTGTTAGCACTCTCAAACCCAAAAGCCAGTCGTACATGGTTTTGAAGGCCCCTGGGCTTCATTCAGTCTTTGAGTCAACAAGGAAGAACCCTGAGAAGGGTAGTACTCGCCGAGATCGCAAAACCCATGTTTAGAGTTTAGTGTTGTTTTGGAAAGAAACCACCTTCTATTCGGGGGGGGTCCCCTCTTCTAGGAGAAGTCACGAAATAGGGGCAGTCTTCATGCAGAAAAGTGCTCCTCGCTCCAATACAAACCCATGATGTATATCTATGGATCAGCAAGCGCCCAAAAGTGCCATAGCAACCTCTGGATCGATCCGATCAGACTTCTGAAGTGGAGGTGGGAACCAAGCGCAAACCTCGCAGGGGGAGGACGAATAATACCATCGGGAGAGTGGAAGGACACGGTTTTGGCTGCAAAAATAGGCCCCTGAGGGGCAAGCGTGTTTCTGACAGTCGCGTAAGTATTCTGTGCGTTCTTGACTGCATAAGGAAATGGCGTGAGAAACTCGGTTTGTACGTGGCAAACTATTCTGGTGTGGGTTGTGTCAGCCTGTTTACGACAGACCCAGATGGTACGTGTGGGTGTGCATTTGTCTTTTGAGGGTTGCCTTTCGAGCGCAACCACCACTTCCAGTGCTCCTTGACGAGCCTTGTCCTTTGGCCCGTCTCAAAAATAGGGCAAGCCTTTTCGAATGCTTCTTAGGAAGCCAAACAGGAGCCACCCTGGCATGGTTTGTAAATTCGAGACACGCGTTCTCCGCAAAAGGACGCGAAACCAAGTCAACGAACCCTGCCACACATTTAGTCTTTTCGGACCAAACCAAATGACATTGTGACTTCAGCACGCCAGCCTTCCCCGCGCTCTCTGGGCTTGGTGGCGCTCGTCATGAAACCACCTCGGAGTTCTTAAGCTGGGGGAAGCACAATCATTCACCAAGGTGACAGAAGGGTGTGTCTTTGATTTGATGGTACGCCTTTTTTGGATGGCTTAAAGGGAAACCAAAAGGACAACGACCATTCTGGGGGTCCCCCAAAACAAACAACACCCAGAAGCTTGGTAACAGGAAAGAATCTTCATGGAGGTAACCAAGAGAGATAAAGCTAAGACAAAGCTTGGCAGTTTAGAAGTCGGCCCAGCTCAAATGCTTCCTGCACTTCTTCTGGCCGGTTTAGATTGAAATAGCTTCACAATTTGGACACTCTTTGGCCGAAACAGACACAACC